GTGCTATCTACTGCACTCACCGTACTCACACATCAAAAGAAAAAAGAACAATTGCTAGTTCTGATTACCTGGTTGGTGCTGTCGGGAAGAAAAGCCAAGGCCGCAGCGATACTGCCCTGGGCTGCCAATAGGCTGGCGTACTGACTCATCTTCTCGGCCAACAGGACCCCTACAGTGCTGGTGTCCACGGCCTGGGTGAGCTGCACAGCTTTTCGCAGGATGACAACTTTCTCAATCAGATCCTAAATGAGAAAAAGAAGGGAGAGTGAGAGAGAAACAAACAGAGACATCAAGACCACGTGTATGAGAGGAAGCAGGAAAAGATAAAGAGGTACTAGGATTTCCAAAGCTCACTAAAAGCACAGTACCTATTGTGATGTCTCTCAGAAAAGTCTGGCCACCATGAAGGTAACTGAAAAGTAGTAAGGAAGAAGGAGGTCTCTTACTCATGGACAGGGCTAGGTTCCTACCTTCTCTTAAACATCCTGAAACTACCAGATACTTGTCTAGTGAGCTAAAACAGGCAAATGTCCGCAGTGAAAGTGATGAGCAGATGTCTGAAGGCTGCAACTGTGTCCTGGCAGGAATGGGAGGAACAACGACTGGCAGTATCACACCGTCTATCCCACAAAAATAGCACTACACGAGGAGACCACAAAGGCACGTGATCTCCACACAGGCTTACCATCATAACCCAGAGCTTCTCATGCTGCTCTTCAATACCGGTTCTTTCAACAATGGGCAGGTATGCTTCAGGTAGAAAGCATAAAAATATCCTACCTATCTGCCTTTAATAGGTACACAAATCCAGGAATGTGAAACAAGTGTTTTTCTCTCAGAAGGACTTAGAAGGAAAACCTTGATTTTTTACCTGATTTTTAATTTCAACAGAGTGACCTTCATAGCAATGACCCTACTGAGAAAAATCTCTTTCCAGAGAGAAAGAGAAATATTATACCAAAATTATCGTAAAACTGTTGATTAAACGCTGAGGGAAAAAAAATCTAAATATATAGTTACTCAGTGCCTGAGAATAGTCCCACATTTTTTACTTCCTCCCTTGTGTATTATTGGTGTTACATGGGATTCCATATACCTCTCACTCGCATCTTCCCTTAACCATAAAGATTCTCTGTTATTACTGGAGATGCCACCTACTTCTTTACCTACATTGGTTCTCTCTTTGCTCAAGGCAGGCAGGGCCACTGGAGGCAGAGAGAGAGAAGCATGAGGAAAAAGAGGTAAACCCTAGGACTGTTTTCAGTATCCTGCCACCTACTTCCCCCAGTAAACTGCCAGATCACAATTTTGATCTTACAAACAGCTGCAACCCCATTTTACCTCCCCATCATCTCAAACTTTGCTTCCCCAAAGACAGCAATATATCCACGTAATTATCCGGCAAAAGAACTTCTAGACTGTAAATTAGCAGGGTGAAAGCAATGAACTTACAGAACAAATGAATTTCTAGAATATAACTTGGTCATAAGTTGGGTAAAAGACAACACTAAAAAGTAAGCACTTTTTGCTTCAAAGATTCTAACCTGAAGGGACAAAGGGTGGCTTCCATCTTGAGCTTTAGTCCAACACGCAACCAGTTTCTCTACATTCCCTGCACAAATGTAGCAGAGACATGCCTGAGACTGCAGGAGGCTATCTCCTTCACTTTCAAGCCTGGTTCCCAAAAGATCTACAAATAAGAGGAAAACAAAATCAGATTATACCCAAGGCACTCTGTGTATGAGGTCATGAGCACCTCAATAATACTTTCAGAGGTATAGATTAAACTTCATAACCAATGAGTAGCAGGGAGAAACAAAATCACTTTAAAGTCTCAGTAAGTATTTGTTAAATGAATGCAAGTGGGTGACACATTGTATGTAATAAATGATTTCATAAGATTCTATATGTAGCTATTGAACTGATTTCCATTAATTATATTAGAAAAAACAATATTTGAACAGAAAAACCCTAAAGACGCATTTGGAATAGATTTATCAATCATAGCTAAGTCTACTGTAAATTACTTATGAAAACACAGTTAATACCTTATAATTTTTATATTCTCACGATACTTTCAAGGTAGCAAATGGTTGTCTGCTCTTACACCAGCAGCCCTAAACTTCTTTTCTTGCAAATAGTTATTTATTCCTTAGCCACCAGTTTAGCCATGGCTTATAATAGTAATTTCTACTCAAATGTTAT